AAGGTTCATCATCGACTGATGGAAACGTTTCGTCTACTGTTACTCAAGTAGAATTACAAGCAGAACGTGCTAGTCGTGAACATTCAGCTCATTTACTTGTTTTTCCTGAATTATTTCTATCAGGCTATGGACTAAGTCGTGAGATCACTTTATCTGCTGCTCGTTGTATTATTCAAGAAAAAGTCATTGCTCATCTACAAAATATTGCAAATCAATATTCAATTGCTCTCTTAATATGTTATCCTGAATTAGTTGATGAGAAGATATATAATTCAGCAACGTTAATTAATGAACATGGTGATATTTTACTTACATATCGAAAAACTCATTTGTGGGCTAACGAAGAACGTGAAATATTTGCTGAAGGTGATCAATTATCGTCTGTTGTTGAAATACGAGGTGTTCGAGTAGGTGTTATGATATGTTACGATATGGAAATGGCTGAAGTAGCACGTTGTTTGACTCTTCTCGGAGCTCAACTCCTACTTGTACCTACGGCTTTAGCTGTATCACCGGCAAATGAAAACATCACTCGTTTTATCGTACCAATTCGAGCTTTGGAGAATCATGTTTGGCTTGCCTATGCCAACTTGTCTCTACCGCAATTTATTGGTCTTTCACGCATTGTTGGACCAGATGGTAATGAATTGTGTCGAGTTGAAAAAGATCCACTCATAGTAGCTGACCTTATTCCTAAGAATTATTTACATAAAATACGATCGACACCTTATTTAGCTGATCGTCGACCTTTTCTTTATTCAATTATTAATGATTTAAAATATCTTGTCAAATTACCTATCGATTATAAATATACTGATGACTAAATTGAACTATGAGAATTTTTTAAATAAATGATTGCTGATGATTATATTTTGATTTTGTCAGTTTAAATTTATTGTAACGCTAGGAGAAAAAAAATCATTGAATAAATATAACTTCATATATTTTTATCTGTAATTAAATAACATTAATAATAGTATTTTGTTTGATACAGAAACATGTTTATTTTTCAAGTCTATTGATTTTAAATTTGTTTTATAGTTAAGATCAATACGTTCTGAAATTGTCTCTCCACTTGTTTTCATTTATTATATCGTTGTATGTTTAGCTCAAGCATGAAAAAATATATTAATGTACATTTTACCGACATAAACATTTCAATTTACTCCAGCACAAGAAACATTATATAAGAGTATAAATACGAATATTTAGCGCACTCTTCTAATCGAGTATGAATCCTCAAAACAAGAGTTAGTAGTAATTGCTTTAAAAATTTCCTGTAATCTTCTGTCATTTTTTCTTATCTTAGAGCTGCTGTCTGCTACGATTTTCGCCATTTAACAATGAATATAGTTTTTGCCTTTCCATACCATTTCGATAAGTTCTAAAAGATGCATGTCAACATTAAATTACCGTGTACCAACGAGATCATCTCATTTCATGAGGTCAATTTTTCAATTTTTACATGCAACTCTCAATCTTGTATACGTATGTATGTGATTGAATCCCACGTTTGCCAGTAAAGATTTGTAGGAAGTGAAATAAGAACCATGCTTGTGTTAAACATGCGACTAATTATAGGTTTCTTGTTTTTTTAAACAAAATATGTACACTTAATCCAGAAAATAATGCACAATTGTCTTATCCTTTCGATCATTTTCTTTTTATTATTTCATATTAATTTTCAAATTCCTAAAAATCGCCGAAAGTCAGTTAAATTCATTACAATGCCAGGTCCATTTTTTGATTCCATGTCAATAAATTCATTAATATTATTTGTTGATTCTATAGGCAAGAAAAAAATTTGCTATTATATAATATTTTAAAATGAACAAAAAAAAAAACATTGATACTTTGATTACAAATTGGCGGATATGATGGTGGTGATGCTATATATGTTATTTTATCTTCTTTTAGCATATGTGAACGATCTGATGCAAATACATCAAGATATTCTTGAGCTGGTATTACTCGAAACATGCTAAATACAAAATAAAGACAATGAATAAATTATAAATAATAAAAATGTTATTTTAATATATACCGATGATATCGATGTACGATGTTTATTTCATCACGAATAGCTAGTTGAATATAATTAGTTGCAGAAACAGGAAACGGAAGTGTAGAATCGAAATCATATATGACAGAAGGAGATGAAGATTTATCAACTAAGATCACATGATAATCCTTTAAAAATCTAAATCAATATTTATAGTTAATATTGAACAAAAATTTTCATACCCATATAGCAAGATGTTCACTGTTGGAAGCAGATTTTTGTTCCCAAATAGGAATTTGTCGTCGTTTATTAGAAATAAATACTGCATAGAGAGAATTTAAATGATTTGGATTATTTTGTTTCCAACATTCACAAAGTTTCCAAATATTTTCTTCACTAAAATTCAACTTAAAATAGATCTATTACAACAATAAATATAAATGTCAGATTTTTTTACCAATAACACGATGTATAAACACATTGATCACGATTAACTACCCACATTTCCATTGAAATCTATCTAAAATTTCGTTTTCTTTACTTATTTTTCTAAAAATAATTATTCACCTATATAGATACTTTATTTAATATGAAATTACAAACTATCATGTCTATTAAGTTCATCATCAATCATTTCGTTCAATATCACTTGAATTTCAAAACATGACGGTTCACGTTAGAAAATCAAATGATTATTTATGTTCTTTTTTGTCAACAAAACGTTAGAATGTGAAATAGACATTTATGAATTATTAATAGTACACTAGAAAAATAATGAACTTCTTTTATTTTCGGTTGCATCAATGAATATTTCTGATATATCGATGATGATATTTTGATCATTATCTAATGAAGGATTTGGTAACATAGTTGATGATACATAATTGAATTCTCATTTCAGTCCAAGTAAGAAAAGCTAAAGCTAGAATGAATAATATCAGAGGAAAAATTATATAACAGAATAAGTGGCAAATTGTTATGATATTAAAGTTAGGTATTAACTAAATAAGAAGAATAATAATAACGAAATGATTTATTCGGAAATGTTTATTTTCTTTTCTTTGTTCGATTCATGTTCATATAGGATAAATTATTTACACATAAATACAATGGAAAAATGAAGTAAATATTGAAAATAAACATCATTTATTTCATATAAAAAAAAGACAAATGGATCCTATCATGAGATAAGTAAGTGATTTTATCATTGACAACCTAACGAAAATCATATCTAAATATAAATTAGAAGATGGAAAATAGAAGAAAAAAAAAGAAAGAAAAATTTCATTGTAGTTTCTACTAGGTTCATTCAATAATTTACAATCATCACGATCGTGAAATTGCTTTTTTTTTCGGATAATTTTCTAAGAAAATAAACAAACGTGATAGTTGCCTGTCACGTATTTATTCCATAACTTTCTCAAATCGATGAACAAATATGAATGTTCATTGTACTATTGATACGTTGAGTAGATGAACTTGACATATACATTCATTGTAATAGTTGAAAGCTCTGCTTCAATGAATTGGAAAATAAGAAGTGTTGAATAACATGCTAATACACTCGATCATCAAATCCAATTGCTCCTAATCAATTCGAAGAAATTATTTTAACAATCTAAATATTACCTCATGTTTATTGTTGATATAAATCATTAACTCTTTGATGACGAAGTCCATAAATTTACGTTTACAAAGTTTGAATAGAGGGCAAAGTCGAAATATAGCAAAACAGGTCTTTTCAGTATATTTTGTATTCTAACATAAATGCTACATTTAACAGCATTACGTCTTTAAAGCAAGTTTAAGTATATAAATCATGATCGTCCATAATTTTCAAAGTATACCATCTTAGCAATAGATTTTTACTTCATGTGTTCTAAAAATAAGTCTGCCGTCAAAGGGTTACGATGAACTATTATAGCTAAAAAGCAATATTAGTTTTTTTTTCTTAATAACAACAAAAGCTTTATAATCTAACCCGCAAGAGAATTCTTCTAACTAATTAATTGCTTTTGAGTCGAAAGTATATGCATCATGTAGACTCTAATGGATTATGAATACTCAGAAAAGAATTCGGGCTCATAACTTATTACTGCTAACATATTACATTTTTACAGTATTTTTTTGATGTAATGCTATAGTTTTCTTCAAGAACATCAGAAAAAATTGATATTCGAATTTCGATTTGAAACTTTGTATAGAAACAAGACTTGACGAGATTAGCTAATCATGGAAGTATCAGGCCATTTGATCTGTTCCTGGCCTGATTTAATTAAAATATCGAATGTGCGAATATGTATATGAGTGATGTAAAAGATGCACTATCATCATGGCTGTATCTTTGCATATGAATAACAAAAATATCTGAAATTTTCACAATAAACTATTTTAGTCAAGGCTTGTTTCCTGAGGGAGAACACAGCAATGTATTGAAAAATACCATAAAAAAGCAATATGTCGAAAGGAATAAGCTGTGAGCTTCGAGCTCTCTTTTTTTGTAGTATTCATGAGCCATCAAGGTCTGCATGATGTACATAGTCTGTTTCAACTTAAAAGCGATTAATCAGTTGAAGAGGCTTTCCTCTTTCGATAAATTTTTAACATTGTAAAGAGATTTGCATTGTAATATAGTCCTAAATTCCCTTCAAACCTTCTATACAAAGTATAATTTGTAATGATACAAATTTCAATTGTAATCTTAAATCGATTATTATTATCCCAACCTATCTCAAATGTAATAATATCGAGCGAAATGTTAAACAATACTGACATTATCATAATAAAACAATCAACTTTGTTTTTGTATCTATAATAATATAATGATGATTAAGAAATTATTTACGTAGATTTCATTTCTCATACGACTGTGAGTGACCAAGAAAGAAGATATACTTTATAAGAAAAATAATTCAAATGAAAAAACAAAAAATTTAAAATACTGTTTTATGTTGAAGATTGTTCGTATAATGATAATGGAAAATGATCATGATTTTGACGCACATGTTCTTTCATTTCTTTCATTTGTCGTTGTAGATGTGGTTCCATTTTATCATAAATATTTTCAAACATTGTTGAAATAGGTGCTCGTTTAGTTTTTTCACAATTAGCAAATGCTTCCATTACCTAAACAAATGAACATATTTAATTAAATTGAAAATAAAAATAGAATTGAAAAACAAAAACAAACCATTTTTTGTGAATCTTTAGTCCATTGTTCGTCTTTTTCTTCATTCCAACAACCACGGTTATACATATATTTACGAACACGTAATGATGGATTATCTCTTTTATCACGTGAACGAACTTCATCAATCGAACGATAAGCTGAACTATCATCTGACGTTGAATGATGACCAACTCTATCATAATCATTATTAGTTAGATTTCATTGATTAGAAAAAAAAAAAAAATTTATACCTAAGCGTCATTGCTTCAATTAAAACTGGTCGCATTTCATTGAGAGCTAATT